CCTTTTTGTGTCCTAGCAACCAACAAATGACATGCTGCATCCCCAGTCCCCGCCCTTCCCAAAATGGAAGCACTGGGGTGCTGACTGGGGCAGGCAGGCACCTCAATGAATATGCAGAGCTGAATGCAGGGAATGGCGGAGACTGGGAAGGCAAAACATCACTGGTTGATTGCTAGGACACCAGGCGGTTCTAGCAACCAACCAATGGCATGCTGGTTCCCCAGCCCCCACCTTTCCCAACATTTAGCTCTGCACATTCATTAGGATGACTGCTGCCCGACCGCCCCAGTCAGCCCCCCACTCCTGCCCAAGTAAGCTACTGCAAGGGACACATAAGTGGGAACTCTTGATGTAAGGGGGGACTCTGGGGCATTTAGTCCCCCTCTTACATTAGGGTTCCCCCTCACATCAGAGTACCCCATTACATCAGAGTCCTCAGGACTCTGATGTAAACAAGGTCTCTGGGGATGCTGATATAAGGGGGGGACTCTGATGTAAAGTGGAACTCTGTGGACTGTAAAGTAAGGAAGTGCTCTGGTAAATCTGACAGGGGGGACTCTGGACACTAAGTCCACAGAGTCTCCCCTTTCATCAGAGTCCCTAGTGTACCCCCTTACATCAGCGTTCACCCCGATATCAGAGTCCCTAGAGTTTCACCTTACATCAGAGTCCTTAATAGGGGGTTATTTTTGAGTTTCATATTATGGTAAAGTTATCTAAAATATGGGTGTCAGTTTTTGGAAAGGGGGACAATTTCAGTGCTTGCCATAGGCACTATTTTCTGAAGATACGCCTCTGGCAATGATCTACTGGAGGTGGTGAATGGAAACACTAGATTGTTGAGAGCGGCAGGTGCTGGGATGAATTTAAGACTGAATTTATAATGTTTTGTTTGTAAAACAAAGTTGGAAAAGTCTGATCTAGTTATATTAAATGATTTTAAAATCTACTCATTTTAAAACATTCTGTATTCTGGTTAGTCCAGAGTTCTTATCCCCAACCCATATAAAACTTTGTTTACCCCACAATACAATTCTATAGAAGCAGTAATCAAAGCAATTGCATTGGGAACCATAACTGGTATCATACCTAACCCTTCAGCCAACAATGGGCTTTATTGGGATCATGCAATCATGCCAAATTAGATTTATTATCATGCTCCGTTACCTACAGCCACCAAGCTGCCTCTTATATCCTCTCAGAGAAAAAGGAATCCCGTAAACATGAATTAACCTTCTTTCAAACACTCCAATAAATGAGGATTGATGGGATTAGGGCACTGCCATGCTTCCTCCCCCCCACACACACCTTCACCAGGGTTTTGTTAGTCTAAAAGTCGCCATAAATATTAGATGGCACAGTCTGGTTGGCAACCCCATTTTCTTACAAATGATCATTGTACAAACATGCACTAATGTGCAGGTTTCTATTGATGTAGGAAGAAGGGGAACACTCTACAGATATACCTCGGCACTGGCCTGTCTTGAGGAGAGCAACAGCAGGAACAACCAAGCTGGCAGACCGACCTTCCCCCTAAAAGGACTAAGACAAGAGTCAAGAGTCCTAATTGACCAAGCTATTAAAGCACTTAGGATGCCTTAAAGTGCATTTAGGACATTCCTAAGTGGCCTCTCAACTAAAATTATCATACATCACTTTGGTATACCTTAAGTACTATTTATCACAACTTAAGAGATAGTGCAGGATAAGGATTAAGCAAAGGAATGCTTACAAACATATGATCGTCCGCTAAACCCACCCAAAGCCACAACATCAGGCTAAGTCTCCGATGTCTGCAGGTGCATTCAGTGATGCCTTGGCTACAAATGGACTATAGAAATAGGCTCGGGTTACTGCACACATCGCATATATTTTTTCAGCCTCGGAATGGAAGCATCAAAAAAACACATTCATTTCATTCACAGATGTGACAGTATGAGGTATAGAAGAAGTGAATATATCACGTCACAAAGAAGTTCAAGTTACAAATTATTTGCAATACTGTTAGCAGATGAAGGGAAAAAAAGTAAATTGTAGAAGTAAAACACATATCAGGAGCTGTAGGTGTTTCTTCAATTGGCTGTTGTTTTAGGGATATCCTGAACATCTGCTAAGTGAAGCTTTTGTCTGTGCCATGCTGGTAAAGGAAATCTACACTAAAACAAAAATGGAACAGACACAGACAGACAGACAGACAGACGCCTATAGCATATATATAACTGCTATGCAGGCAATTTTTTACTTTTTTCAAATTACCTCTGCAAATCAACCTGCAGCCACAGTAAATTCCAAAACTGCCAAATAATTCAAAGCATCGCATCCTTGCAATATAGAGACTGATCGATCTAATTAGCTATATGCTCTTCTTAGAGGTTTGTACCGAGAAGTGACATTTTAGGCATCCCCTTCCCTGAGTTAGAGGTGTATTTGGCAAGATACTCTAAGGCTCATCCTCTTCAAAAGGGAAGCAGACTCTGCAGCTTTTCTCACTGCATCACATACTGTATATAATTAAGGCAGAGCACCACATTCAGAAATCTGTGTGGCAAAGTACATCCTGAAACAAACCACAATTTTCAAAAAAACTCTAGTAATGTATATTGTTTATTTAGAAGTGATTATTTCTCAAGAAAGCTAGTTCTTTTTTTTACACATTACCTGTGAGCTTACAGATATATGCAGCCTCGCAGAGGTGGGCTTTCTTCCCTGACGCGCTTTTGTGCTGGAAGTGCGCTCCCAGCACAGTAAACAAGCTATCTCTGGCAGCTTCCGTTCACTGTTTCCGACTAGTACAAGCACTATTTTTTGCGACTGCACTGGACCAGACCACAGGCATTGATATGCCAAACTTTCTGGTGCAGACAATCGCACTGCGGGCATGGGGGATTTGGAGTGGCTGCGGTGCCATTGACTTGAATGCACCGCCACACCCCTCCTGCCCCAGGACGCAGGGAGGATTTTTGAATGTGATCCAGTGCTTTCCAGCAGCTAACCACGCTGGAACGCACTGGAAGTGGTGTGAACCGGCCTTAAAGGGAAGGGGGGTGGCATGTTTTTTTTTAGGGCTTGTTCACACCATGTCCAGACTAGAACAGTTTGTTCCAGGAATGCATCCCAATCCATCCCTATGGCATTTCTGGGCTTTGTTCACACCAGTGCAGTCCATTCCGGACGAAAAAAAAGACTGCTCGTCTAATTTTCTCTGGTCTGGACCGCCCCGGACCACATGTAAACGCATCAAAAATACATGCGAACGCACTGGGCTGCACCTGAAAGCCCATTTTAAGCTAACGAAAAAAAAAAAAAACCACAACACGCACCAGAAATGCTTAAAAAAAACCATCAAAAAATGCACTTCACTGCGTTTGCAGATCTACTCCGGACATGGTATGAACATATCACTATTTCTGCTAGCTGGGTATGGAAAGCCATAAAAGTCTTCCTGTAGACACTGAACACTAAGCACAGTTTGTTTCTGGTGTAACTTTGATTTAAAAGAACTATGGCCTAACCCTTTTTGGCCATAGTTCTCTTCAGGGTCACAGGAGGACATTTACTAAAGTCCTCCGGTGACCCAAAACTCAGTATGTAGCAGGCTATTGCCCTCTACAGGTGAAACTCGAATAAATTAGAATATCGTGCAAAAGTAATTGCAGTAAGTGCTGCAAAAGGGGCCCAAACCAAGTACTGAGTACATATGCATGCTTGTACTTTTCAGAGGTCCGATATTGTTCTATGTACAATCCTTGTTTTATTGATTGCATGTAATAATCTACTTTTTTGAGATTGTGGATTTGGGGTTCTTGGGGTTTTCATGAGCTGTAAGCCATAATCATCACAATTATGACAAATCACGGCTTGAACTATCTTGCTTTGCATGTAATGAGTCTATCTCATATATTAGTTTCACCTTTTAAGTTGCATTAGTGAAATAAATGAACTTTGCACGATATTCTAATTATTCGAGTTTCACCTGTATATGCCGAGAGTGCAGAGCCGTGCCGCAGCCGTGCCGGATCCCAACAATACTGTTGAGATCCACCCCGCTGGCTGATTCAATGTCACAGGTCGGCTTGAATTATAAGAATGAGTGTTTTTCACTCACCCCATAATTCTCCTTTAACAGTTTCTGTTTAAGGTTTATTATTCTTCTATAGGCTGACATGTATTTTTGTCTTGTTTTCTAACACAGGAAAAAAAACCATTTCAATTGTTTTAAGCAGGACACATTCTTACCAGAGTATTGCAATGCTGTGGGGAAAAAATCTTGAATTATTAATGCACTCAAGTCAATTAAAAGGAAACCTACAAATTCTAACAAACATTAACACACACTTTAGAACATCTTCTAAGAATGAGCTGCGATGTACATAAACTGCATGAAGAACATAATTAAAGGATACATAGATGAATTCAGCTCTTCCAGCTGCAAATGAAGAAAAAGAACAGTTAAAATGTCAATAGGAAGGAATAATTCAAACATACTAAAACCATTAATATTTAAAATGATCACTGTATCATGGTATCCCTCATGTGGTTAATATCTTTAATATTACGACTGTATAACAATTCTATGTTTTATTTCACATGCCTTTACTAATATTTTTTCCACATTTAAATGCAGGCCACGCTGTCCAGCTAAAAGTGACATTTACAGGTGTAGGGACCAACACTGTTGGAAGTGCTTACAACAATCAGCTTTTATTCATATTGTTTGAACCTTTTTTCTAAAAAAAAAAAACCTTACTTTAAGGCCTTGTTCACACCAAATGCAGAGCAGATCTGGTCAGGTTTCTGTACACGCACGCTAGTCTTTTAGACGCGTTTTTGGCTAAACAAAAAAAAAATATATATATATTTATTTATTTTTAGTTTAACATGGGCTTTCAGTGCGTTCCAGGCATTTGCATGCGTTTTTGGTGCGTTTGCAGATCCACAGCAGGTAAAATAGGGTCTGCTGCAGTTTTTTTACCTGCTCTTGATCTGCACGCTGCGATGTGAACTGGAGCTCAAAATACCATAGGAATACATTGGACGCAGTTTTGAACCGGTCTGCACCTGCTCTGCTCTGGATCTGCTCCGCGCTTGGTGTGAACTAGTCCCAAGGCCTTGTTCATACCAAGCGCGGAGCAGGTGCAGACCGGATCAAAACTGCGTCCAATGTATTCCAATGGTATTTTGGGCTCCAGTTCACATCGCAGCGTTAAGTTCCAGAGCAGGTGAAAAAACTGCAGCAAGCCCTATTTTACCTGCTCTGGATCTGCTCTGGAACGCATGCAAACGCATAAAAAAATGCATGCAAGTGCCTGGAACGCACTGAAAGCCCATGTTAAACTAAACATTTTTTTTTAAACCAAAAACGACCCGGAACGCATCAAAAACGCGGCACAACCCACTGCACTGCGTGTGCAGAAACCTGACCGGATCTGCTCTGCATTTGGTGTGGACAAGGCCTAACTGTTTTAAAAGTATTAGTAGAAAAAAAAAGAAACAAAACTACCACATTAATGTTTGTGACGGGCTGCATAATTTTTTTCTATTTTGCATAGAGTTTCAAATCAAGTCCATGCAGATATTTCTGTTTTAGATGCATGTCAGTAGGCTCAAACAACTGCAGACTCCTCCTATCTCTTGGACACCCAAAAAGTCAAAGAAAATCCCTTACTTATCTTTTGTCTACATCCCATGCATCACTCACATTGCTGGGTTGTGCACCAATTGTATATTATGGATTATTCAGCAGAGGACAGTCTCAGTATGCTGGATAACAGCTATAGTGCGGACAATCAAAAACAGTATTGTTGGCACTGGTGTCCATGAAATATATATCAAATGGATTATTGAGTCAACCTGCTAGCATACTTCCAAAACTACGTTTTGGGTAAGCTTGGGCTTTAAAAAACCCTTTGTAAAAAAAAAAAAAAATGAAACTATTTAAATGTATAATTTAGAGCAAGCCAACAGCAACTTCCTTAAAGTGGAAATGAACTCAAAGGGTAATTTGCTATGTTATAGGGAACATGTTATTCATATGGAAATGTTAATTGTGCCTAAACAGTGCCGTGTAAAATGTATCCTTTGTCTGAAATTCCTCCTGAAAAATAGCAATGCACGTCCCAGTATGCGACTGTGCCTAGGCAAGCCTTTACATACAGCCTTAAAGCTGTATATTTGAAGAGCAAGATCTCTTACTGCTAGTCTGAGAAGATTTGAAGTGAGATTTGGGGATATCATAACTGCCCTGCTCACTTTTCTCCTTCCTTGAGGCTCTGATATGAGGAAGAAAAGCCCTGCCTCTTCCACAATGGCTGCGTCTAAGTAGAGACCTAGTGCAGAACAAGACATAAATCAGCTGCAGGTAGACCACATGAAATATTGGTGACTAGTCCTTTGCCCTCTGTCTGTCTTTTTGGGCACCTCATCCAGAGTTCAGTTTCTTCTTAAGATTGTATTTAGGTGCTAGTAATTAATTTACATAAAATTACATTTCAAACATACATCTGAAAGAAGTCGGTCAAGGTTGGAATCACTGGCTATTTTGCGCTTGTCTTCTGTCATTTCCTCCAATTCTCCATATAGTTCTAGGTGAAGACGAGCCAGCTTCTCTTGCAGTTCACGAACGTGTTCCATCTGTTCAATTGAGCACTCATTGCCTATGGGTTCAGCCATTTGGAATACTATTAGTAACATCACATCAACAAAAAACATTTTGTGGCATATATGTCTGGTATTAATAAAAGAGTATAGCATATTGAGATGCTGACTAAGTTAAGTATCACTGTTTAGGTTATTGTAATCACATCTTCACCATTGGATTAGATTTACACTTGCCAGTTTTTTAGACCCACAGGTTGTATAAGGAATTAAGTTCTGAGTTGTCCTATAACAGAGGGTCTGGGCTATAGCTTGAGCCGGTACTTCTGTCACATATATATTCACAGAACACTGTGATCCGTTTTGATTATTGTTCATGCATCACATGCATTAATGATTTTTGGCGCTCACTTATATATTGTTTATATATTGTTTATAGCTTGCCTCTGTTCTGAGAGAATATTCACAGTTATTTTGCATATTTGAGATAGAGTTTTGTTTTTTGATTTTCACAGAGACGATATGGTTTGTTGACCCAATAGTTGTGGGTTTTTGTTTCACCTTATTATTCACACTCACACTGACCAAGCGCAACTTACTTGCCACACTAGACTAACTAAACTTAATAATCTGCAATTAAAATATGTAACCCAATTATTGTAAATAATGTTATCAATTAAATGTAATGCTTTCAAATCCTGGTTTCTAATTGGAAGCAGCCCCTTTGTCAATTACACAAGTAATCCCTGCTTACTTTTTAGTATTGCTGCACAGAGACTGTGGTCACTCCTTTATTCACTCAATATTGTCACAATGCCATTTGTCAAGTCTGACTTGACTTAAAACAATACACTATTGAGTTTATTTCAGCAGCTCTTCAGCTGGCAATAGATGGTTCCTCCTGAATCAGCCAACATTTGAGCCATAGGTCAGCACCACCCAGCCTGACAAATTTGATTTCAAAATCAACTAAGCTAGATGGAAAATATCCATTTAGATGTAGTCGCTGTTCAGCAGCACCACCGGATTTAGGCAGCTGCAGAATACAATAGCTGGCAGTGGAAATTCCTCTAACAACACTATTCAGCAAGGGTGGGGAATATTTTTCTCGTTCAGCGAAAGGACTAAATGAGGAAAAACAAGCCATGAATGGCTAGCATTAAAGGGAACCTGTGAGAATAGAACTATGGGTGCTGCCTCAGATTTTAAAGATGCCGGTTTCAGGGCTGTCATTCTGATCCTGACTTCACCATCTGGCGAATAGCTGGCATGGAAATCAGACTTTCCTGGTTGCATCTTGTTTCAGTGACTCGGCATTGAAGCTATGATCAAGATGATGGCCCCAGGGTCTGCACCTTTGAAAACCAAGTCTGCAGTGGCAGCTTCAATATATTTCTATCCTAGCAGGATATCTTTAAAGGGGCTACGCCCACTAAAGGGAGCACATTCAAACGTGTTTAAGAAATATCATAACAAACAAAATATCTAACAGTAAGCAACTTTGTTTATGTTGGCTGCCATTGCTCAACTCTCCTCTTGAAAATACTAGATTCCTTGCTGATATGCTAATAAAAAGGTTTTAATAATGCCTCAGTCACTAAACAGAAACAGGTATGCAAATGAAGAGTTCTCACTTTCCTCAGTGGCTTCACTGGTTGCATGGTCAGTGACTCAGGAAGCATGGAGACTAGAGGCAGCCAGGCAACTAGAATTTTGAAAAGGAGGTCAGCAATAGTATAGTAGCCTCTGTATATCCCTCAGTACAGATTTTATTTAAGAAGCCGCCAGCAGTAGATGTGACAAGTCTACCGTATCATCATAATCATTATTACCAAAAGCTTGGAGTTTGCCTGAGTGGAAGTCATTAAGTAGACTCAGAAGCCCCTTTTCCATCTCCTGTACATCAGACACATCCGTAAGGAAAGAGTGCTGAATGGGAGCCGAGGAAGCACCTTTAGCCTCTCCCTGAGATTTGGATTTTTCTTTAATGACTCTTCAAGTGAAGAAAACAAAACAAAACAAAAAAATCAGTCTATCAACATTATAGCACACAATAAACTGCTAACTCAAGTCTCATAGTCAACTGTATGGTCAAAACCTACATATGAAATCTTATATCTCACAGAGTCTTAAAAAAAAAATTGTACAAAAGAATGTGGTAAACAAGTCATCAGATACCCTGGCATCTCCCACCACTATCTACCTTATTTCTGCATCTCTGAAGTAAAAAACAAAGCTCACAATCTGTGTAAAGGTGGCCATACAAGACTTTTGTCTTGCAAGGGTTGTAAAGTAATTTAAAAAAAAGTAATTAAAAAAACGTACAATCTGCCCATCTTGGACAGGCAGATCGTACTTGCGATCATCGGGGCGGGCTTCCGATGACCGCAATGCTGAACGGGCAGTGTGCGCGTGCGCACACCGACCCGTTTGGCATTTGTCTCCCGAGCATGGCACAAACCACGATTTTCGGCTGGTTTTCAAACATGCTTGTTAGACAAAAGATGTGCGACCTCACAGTAGAAACAGTCGCACGCCTTCCATACACTTTGAGATTATCGTACGATAATCGCAGTGTATGGGCACCTTAAGTAAGACAAATAATGTTATTTGCCTTTTTGCCCTTTATTGGATCCAATTTGTTTATAGGCTATGAAAGAGCCATGTGGAACAAAAAACATATCATGTGTGGTAAAATCATCCTTCATCCCAAAGCTTTTAACAATTACATATGTGGGTCCATTCCCATAAGGGCAAGTGACATCGGTCACATTACTAGAATATGTTCAATTTCCTCAACTATGCACAATGACTAAAGCACCTAAATGCTCAATTTACCGCAAATCAAGTGGCCTCTAGTGCACCTCAGTAATTTCACATCTATGGTATCCACCCGACGGTAAAGGCCACTGCCATTATGAACTCTCATTCTCCCTGTTGGAGTGTTTATTTCTTATTATAGAGAATACAGAAGGAGCGGTTCAATGGTAGTAAAGTGGAGAAAAAAAAAACCAGGGATCAAAAAGATGTGAGCCTCCCACCAGAGATGAGACAACTAGTGCTACGCCATTTCAACCTGTAACTAAAATACTAGTTTTGGATAGTCTAGTCCTTTACCGATATCTGCCCAGAATTTAGTTTAGAGGCTCACCTTTTCAGCTTTGGTTTTTGTACAGCTGGCTGTTGCACAGCATTCGAGAAACCAGTGCTTTTGCTGAGTGGGACAGCATTCCTCTTGGAATTCATGAGTGGAGGAGGGTGACTAGTGGAGGATTTTGGACTCCTCCTTTTCATCTTCCTCTCGTCCATGGAAACTGAGCTTTACTTCTGGATAACCTACAAAAAGAAAAAAGGAGTCAGGGTTTGGCATATGCAGGTACACATAAAGCTGAACTCCCGAACATACTGTATAAAAAACAATCAATTCATTCTTTTAAAAAGAATTAAAATCATCAGTCTTCCTGCTTTTCCTGTCAGAAATATGGCAGTTAGATACTGTACATGTTCAGTAAAGGCCAGTACAGACCTGTCTTTACTGTGCTCACTGCCATGTTTTTAAAATCACAATATGGCAGCAGGATTCAGCACAAGCATGGTAGTGACCTGAGAATTAGTACACTACCATGCAGACAACGATAGGTCACCACCATATTGTAATATCAGAAACGTGGCATCAAATCCCATACATGCACAGCAGTGACTGGTCTGTACTTACACTACCATGCACGTGTGGAATCTCTCCATCATATTGCATACATCATAGAGCTTACTACTATGCATTCATTGGGACTGAAGGCCAACATGGGCAGCAATAAGGGTGGATAAAAATCGATGATTTTTTTTAAATTTAAAATCAGATTTTTTTTAAATTTAAAATCAGATTTTTTTTATTTTTATAAAAAAAAATGTAATAAAATGCTTTTGGGGTAAAAATCTATCTAAAAGATAGTTTACATTAATAATTTAGTTTGTTCAGCATGAAATGGAGCTTAGTTATGTAGCATGAGGCTGTATATTCTGCAATATTTACATTTTTGGTAAACTCATTCAATGATTTCAAGCTCTGCAAGCTGAGATAACATGCACTGCATTGATGCATTCACGCAATTTCAGAGTAAGTAACCTTGAGATAAAACAAAGTTCAGGAATATTCCTTTATCCCATTGTTTTGCAAATCCACTCGCCTGCTGCCCCCCCACGTCCCTCACCTTGTTGTGTCACTGCCACATCACCAGCCGTCCCATTAAAGTGAATGGGACTGTCGGTGAGTCAACAGCGAGTCAGAGGGGGAGCCGCTGCGGGACAGAGATGACAGTTGCTCTTTAAAAATTATGATTTAAATCGATTTGATTTAAATCATATCCACCCTGGCAGCAATGTACATACTTTAATTTGTATGCATGCTGACTGAGGGGAAATTCTGCACATGTGTGGCCGCCATAGATGTGATGTTGTATTGGTTCCTCTTAACCTTCTCACGACCAGCCATTGTAGTTAAATGGCTGGTCAGGGAAGCTGGTACTGCCCTGTCCCTGCTACTTAAAGTAGATGTAAACCATAATTTCATTGGCCCTGCCCCTCTGCATACACCTGAGCCATAAGTTCCCCCTGTCCATACACCAGAGCCATAAATCCACTTCCCTATACACATAAGCTATAAGTCC